TACTACATGTAAGAAACGAAACACTGTATTCCCACTGAAACACCACTTTTCAAGGAAACAACTGACACAAACCCAAAGAGTAGGCCATTCTTTGTGTTCCTCCAATAAAGACAGAGTGAATTGGATTTGGTTGCTATTAAGCAGGGAAGTTGAAAGAAGGCTTCTTAAGAACCAAAGTACCCAGAAGGCTACTGCAGAGAAAACGAGATCGATTTGTTCTCAGGTTCTCAAAAGACAGGAGATGCAATGGGCTTAAAATTGAAGTTAACAAGATTCACACTAGGCACTTGGGGAAGACAACACCACTTTTCAATTTTAAGGACAATAAAACCCTTGAGCAGATTACACTGGAGACAGGTAAGGAAGTAAAAAACTCGCAGTCAGTAGCAGGACCACAGGAAATTATTTAGTCTTTGTTGTTCCCCACATTTATTTTAAAAACTATATAGAATTTACTGGCTCATTTCAGTAGAAGATACTAAGGTACAATAGAGAATTTGTGCTTTTTTTCAGTTTAAATATTTGTGACTTTTTATTCTCTGCTCTCCACTATCTTCAGCATAGTCCTATTTTTCAATTAACACTCTTACATTTTTGTGATGATCAGTTACCACAGCTGCAAAGACCAGAGTCTGTCTTATGTTCTATTATAGCTAGAGCTTAAAAAACAACATAATAGTCAAATAAAGGAATGCAAAAGAAGAAAAAGGAATTCTACCAATATTTTCTATTCAGCTTTTTCCATTTCAGGACTCATGGGTTTACTGCTGATTTACACTTCCATAGAAAAATGTAGCATATGGCAAGTTAAAAAGGACAAGGAAATAGAGAGTATAATGGAAGTGAATTAATGAAAATCGATAGTTTTGAAGACTAAACTGCATTAATAATAAAGCTTATGGGGTTTACACAAGTTGAGTGATTTCACGTTTTCATATTAGAAAATTAGACAAAACTTACAATAAAGTGTTCTTTCAAGTGTATAGTTAAAAGATTGCCTTCCTAGTTTAATCAAACTTCAAATAAACAATAATGAATAATTATTCATTATACTGCAGGCATCATCCACAAGGGATACAAAGCGCCTTGATCAGGACTTGTCAAGTTCTCTCAACCCCTCCTCCACCGAGCAGAGAGACAAAGCAAGCCCCACCTCACACCCCAAGGATTACCTGGCAACCTAACAGAGGCAGATAATCAGTTTGGACATTGTCTCTGAAATATTGGATGTGGAACTTTTCTAGCTTTAGACAGAGTCCCAATTCACCATTCTAGTCTTTCCCTAGCTATCAGTGAATGGAGGAACTGGCTATCAGTGAATGGAGGAGCTCCAAGAAGGCAATTCAGCAGGTCTCAGACATGTCTGAGACCATTAAAAGGGCTGCCTGTGTTATTCTATTTCTCCCCACTGTCTGCAGAGACAGCCTAATGTCACTTGGACTTGACACCAACTCCTCCCTGGCATACCAGGTTAGACATCTCACACCATTTCTCTTCCCATTCTTTCCTCAGGTAGTACTGGCTAAGATTCTACAGTTTCAGCTTCTTGGCACCTCTGAAGGAAAGCCAAATTCTGGGGTTGGAGCTGAACACAAGCACCAACAACTTCAATGGCTTCCTCAGAGGGCAATGCAAACACATAAAACACTGTTACTTTAAAAAGAAATTCTTGAATTAAAAAAAAAAAAATTAAAGGCACTACCCAGATAGCAGCTTTTGTAAAGGTGAAAGCTACACATTAGTATGAAAAACTAATAGCCTGGCTCTGTAGACATTTAAACAGGTATTTGAGCAGAAAATCTCACATCCTGAAAATGAAAACATATGCAAACATTTGAAGAAAAAGAGCCTACAGTTTTTGTCTTGGTTTGGTTGTCTTTTAAAGTAATGTCATTCAAATGAAAAGTAATGTCACTTTGTTTTCTAACAAAAGAGATAGTTCTACAACTTCGCAGTAGCATCCAATACATTAATAACCAACAACTTTTCACATTGAAGCTGGGACAAGGCACATCATACCATTAAGTCCCATAGAGGTAAAAGTCCATGCTGGCACTTGGACTTAAAGAAGTTCAGATTTCTGGAGCACAGCATCAGTTTTTGCCCCATGTTCCTCTGGCGTCCTGAGACTTCAAAACTCCAACACTAGGAAGAGGAAAAACTAAGACAAATTCTTTTCAAAACCCTAATGTGATTAAACACACTGTCCATGAAAGAAAAAAACTGAGGAGAGGTTGTGCTTCACAGGTCTTCCAGGACCTTTACCATGACTATCTACTCCTTACCAGCTAGCCCCTTTCCCCATGAATTCTAATCATGGTTTCTTCATTAAATCTTCTGAAGATCTGTGTTTAAAGGTAGGACTTAATCTAACGTGCACTATTTTTAGCACTCTAAGAAACAAATTTTCACTATCATACACTAAAAACACTTTATTCCCTCTGCTGTAGTAGAAGACAGACTGCATATACCGGGATCTGAAAGAATAGATTATATTAACACCTGCTAGTGGAGAAACAAACAAAAAATGTGAAACACACAAAACATCTTCACTGCATCAAATACATGGCACAGGAGATCAAACACCTTGGTAGCAAATCCATAAAAGTTTGTCCTGCCGGCCACAAAGAAAATCCATTGTCAGATATTTAACCAATTTAGCCTAATTTTCTGACATCATAGCTGGAAGGCAGAAGAGAAAAGTTGAGCTACTCAGGGAAGTCTACTGCTTCAAATACATTCAGGAGCTTTAAAGGAAGACTTAAAAATATTCAGTACACTTCACATTAGACACGTATGCTAGTTTCTTGCCTATTTTAGGTATTCAGTCTCCTCAATTCTCCATTCAGACATTAAAAAAATACTTAAATCCATGCTTCTAATAGTACAGCAAAGTAGTTTGGGCTTGATTCCAATTTCACCAGCAGCAAAGACATTCACAGCAGAGATAATCCATACTTTAGGGTTATTTGATTCCTTTTAGAGTTCCTTGAGAAGCAGAAGCCAAGCTACATGGTTATAATGACAAAATAAAGGGGAAAATGTAAAGGAGTCTCCCAGCACAGGTTATAATAGAAGAATAAACCAGTATTAAAATGATGCAATAAATTATTCACAGTGCTTTCCTCATTTATGTAAAGACAGATCAAGAAGTGCAATGTTGCACTAGCCAAAGAATCAATCCACAAATTAAAAATAAAAAATCAGTAACAAAAAAAAAATCAGAAAACACTGTTCACCTATAATAGCAAAGTATCACTACTTTTTTCAGTCAAAGTAATTACTGACTATGCACTGAACCACAGTCCTATGACTGGCTGTGTAGTTCAACTTGAAGTTTTAAATTTATCTAATACAAGAATGTTTTTCTGTAATAGTACTGAAGCCACTACTCCAATTTTATTTCCCATTTGTAATCTTTGCAACTGAATTTAGCACTCAGTCGTTTACCTACTAATATTCTTCATGAGAGAAAAAGTGGATTTCACTGGCAGACTATGTATTTTCAGACATTTTTACAAGTACTACTCTTCCTCCTCCCCTCCCTTTTACATTACAGGTTTCTTGAATATTCCTTAAAGCTCTACAGCTACCACCAAGTTATTTTGTCCTTGAAGACATTCCCAGCATTCCTCTTCCATCAGCAAATACATACACTTCATATTCAGCTAAATGTTTTTTTCATAAAATTGTACAAATTACCTTAACAGTATTCTGCAAGTATAGCTAAAGTCCACAACCATCCACAATAAATTTAAATTATCCTGACTGGAGTCTTTCCAAATGCAACTAGCTTTGTATGGGAGGGCCTTTGATGTTCGCATCAAATAACCTTCAAATTGGTCAACAACAATAATCAACTCTATTGTCCTGATGAATAAACCCTGTGAAAATGTGCCCATGAATGTCACAGTCTATACATGTTAAGTAACAAGATACGAACCACAATGTGGAAGTAATTCTACTGAAAATTTAAAGTTTGTGTATGCATAAAATCAAGATGGATACTAAAATGAAAGAACATAATGTAGCTCCCAAACTATTTAACTTTTTTTAAAGGTATTCTTCCTGTATTTCCCTTCATATTTTCCAGAGTTGAAGTTACAATTATTAAAGTGCAAAGGTTTAAGCATGAATTCAGCTCATAACTCCTGAATACATGTCCAAAATCAATCAAATAGAGAAAGGTTCTAATGCTAGCCTAAATAATCTGACTGAATGGTGAATAAATCAGAACAAAGACCAAAACTTACTGAATCACCCAGAGGTATCTCTTATCAAGAGAGATCGCCCATCTGACAATTATTCCATGTTTAGAACAGGCAAGACCTTTCACAAGACCCAACAAAACCACACTATAACTTGCAGAGAGGCAGCATGCACACAGAATTCCCTTTTCCACTGTCATCAGGTCACCAAAGGGACATTCATAGTGCGATTTTTGCCAGTACAGAGACCACACATGTTCTCCCGACTTTGAGCTTGCAGGGAGAGCGAGCGGCCAGGACGGCACGGGAAGCGCAGACCCTGCCTACGTGCGAAACATGGGTGAAAGTGCGTTTAAGGGCTTCTGGATACTGCCAACTCCGCTAGGTACAACATTCAGCAGCTGCAACGATCCATCAGATTCTGCAGAGGCACTCTGCTTGCTGCAGAAGAGCGTAGTGATTTGTTAAAGACAAGTTTCGAGAGGACGGACAGACAGGAGAAACTCGCGGGAGCAGGAGCGGAGTTTCTCTCCGCTAAGCCGCACCAAAGGCAGCTGCGGCCGCGCCGCGCGGAATCAGCGCGCATTAGAGGCACAGGGAAAGCACCGCAGGTAACACACCGGGAAGGCAAGAGCCCACAGCACACCCTCCCCCGGAACGCCAGCCTTGCCCCGCCGTTTGTTTCCTATTGAGGACGGCAGCGGACAGTTCTCGCCCTGCTGCCAGGGCACCTTCCCAGGGCGCTGGGAAAGGCGCGATCTGGTTTGGAGCATCTCGAAAGCAGGCACTGACCTGAGGGTGCGGTTGCCGGCGCAGCTGCGGCGCTCCATGGCGGCGGGCACGCAGCTGGTGAGCTCGGTCCAGTCGGCGTGCAGCCCGCAGCTCCAGCCGGTGGAGAAGCGGGAGAAGAGCCAGGTGTCCTTGTCGCCGCCCGGGCGGTGGCAGGCGCACTTCTTCTGCCCGGCCCGGCAGTAGCAGGGCTGCTCCAGGTGGATGTTGCGCACCAGGTGCCGCCCGAAGGTGGTGCCGCCCGTCTTCTGGATGTGGAGGAAGACGATCACGTCGCGGCCCCGCATGTCGAACCGCACCCGCCGGCACAGCTCCCCTCGGGCGAACGGGAACTTGGCCGCCAGCCGCGGCATCGCCGCCGCCTCCTCCTCCTCCTCCCGCTCCTCCGGGCCCCCCCCGCGGCGGGCGGCGGAGGCCGGCGGGCGGCGGGGGCAGGCGGCGCCGGGACAGGCGGGCGACACGTACTGGTAGACGATGAGCAGGAAGAGCAGCGCCAGCAGCGGCGGCAGCAGCCACCTGTTGAAGCGCTCGTCCATGGCGGTGCGCGGGGGCAGCGCGGCGCGGGATCAGGCGCTGCCGGCCGCTGCCGGGGCGGCCGCCCCGCTCGGATCCCGCAGCCGAGGGGCGCACGGCTCCCTCCCCGACGGCATGGTCCTGGCAGGCGGGCGACCGCGGCTCGCTCCGCTCAGCCCAGCGCGCCGCGCCGCACCCCGCCCGAGGCGGCCATCCCGCGCCCCTGCCCGCGGCTGGGCGCCGAGCGCCGTGCCCGGAACGCGCTGCCCGGCGGCGGCCGCACAGCTCCGCTCCCGATCCCGCTCCGCCGCAACTCCAGCCCAAACACAGCGCCCGGCTCCCGGCGGGGCGCGCCCCGCCCCCGCCCGCCGGCCAATCGCGGCCGAGCCGGCCGCCCAGCCAGCCAATGGGCGGGCCCAGCACGCCGGCCCTGCCGCCAATGGGAGCGCGCGGCGGCCCGGCGGGGGCGGGGGGAGCGGCCCCGCGCTCCCCTCCAGGTACCGGACCGGGACCTGCCGCGCGCGGGGCGGGGGCGGGAGGCGGCAGCAGCCAATCAGAGGGCGGGGCGGGGCGTCGGGCAGCCAATGGGAGGGGCCGGGGAGCAGCCAGGTGAGCGGGGCTCCGCTACATTCCTCATTTCCCATCAGTTTTCCGTAGGAAATGGGGGTTTGGTGCTGTTCGCGATCTCACGTCCGTCATTACAACCCCAGGTGCTTCATGCACGGAGGCGGACAGCGCCGACCACCCCATAGATTAGCTGACTAATTGTAGAGTAGCTGGTACGCGGTGCTGCTGCTTCTTGCGGTCTTCAAACCGTCCCAAACCATGGTCACAAACCATGAACCCCCTTCGCAGAACAGTTTCACCTCCCCAAGGCAATAACATCGGTTCCCCAGCAGCGCAACTGCTCCATTAAAATGTCAAAAGGTTACTTTTCAATCCCTCTTGTGTATTTACAACAATCCACATCCTGAAACTGTGTTGTTTTCCCTACTGAAAATTATCCTTTTTTGTTCTTTAATAGACATTCAAATCTTTAGCCTGCAGATCACACTCAGCAGAATTTTGCCAAAAAAAAAAAAAATCTACACTGTTTTGCCTGAAGTGTGCTCCCCATAATGTTAAAAGTCTGTTACAAACACTTCATATCTAAAACCAAGCCTCATATGGCTCCTGGATTACAATATATTAATATGCAAAGCATTTTGTCTTAGAACTGATTGCACATCTTGCTTATTTAATTACAGAATGCTTTTATTTACTGAGGGATTAATTAGATATCTGACTGTGCTAAAGCAACTTTTTTGCTCAACTCTAAAGGCAGCTTCACCTCTGCAAGGCTGATAACAGAAGAGCAGTGCCTTCCCATGGGACCACTTAACTTTAGAACTTATAAAAATAGACAAATGTATTTTAAACTGAAGGTTTTTATATAGAAACCAAGAGTACTTGGAATTTTGGGGGTAGAGTATCTGCTCCCATTAGAGCTTGCCAGAAATCATAAGAATTAACAGAAAATGGTCTGAACAGAGGGAGTTCAAACTGTAAATGTTGAGAGGTGTCCACAGGAAACAGCAGCCTACACCACCCACCTCCAAACATCTACCACACATGCATGCACACTCCCAGCATCCCATTTAGTGGTAATACACCAGTAAAAGTCTGACAGTTGCACATTTTTGGGTCTTGCCAAAACATGAGAAGAGATGATGCACTTCTACCTTCAGTGCCATTTTTTAAGGAAAACATCGTGGGTTACTTGGTGAAATTCACCCTTCTACCGCCATGCACCACGGTACTGGACATCCTTCATCCTTTGGAAGAAGAATTCAGAGTCTGATCAAATAAACCTATTTAGTCTTGGGCGTCTAATGACAAGAGATGTGCACTCACTGACTCTTATTAAGTAGAAAACAGCATTTTCACCTTGAAAAATCACCATATTCTTTGCCAGCATGAGCAGCAGAGCACCCACCTCTCTAGGGAGACCAGACTCTGCTCTCCTCTGCCACCACTGTGCTCACCTGCTTCCAGATTCCCTGTGCCTCCAAAGTGTGGACTTAGTGAGTTCATCTTTTAACCTCTTTCTTTTACTAGGTGACACAAAGCCTGTCCTAGAGAAATTTAAATGTTTAAATGTGTAAAATACAGAAGCATTTTGTTATCATCTCAGCCTATCCACTACTTAACAAGAAATATGGCTAAATTCATTTGAAATAGAAGTGATGCTAAGGGATTTAGACTCAAGTATCTCTTCTGATGCTTTTAACATGATGCAGAAATATGATAATTTAAGATTTACTCATTAAATACCAGGTTAACACTTTACCTTCATCTCCATGAAAAGGAGCTCAGAACTAAAGTTGCTAAACAGAGAAACCCTCAATTTCACTACAATTTTAAATTCTTATTTATTTAAACTTACTCAAGACAGTTACTGATTCATGAAAACTGGTAAAAAATTAATGGAATAGATGTACAAGAGAAGTAAAAATATTTATAATTATGTTTATCTGAAAAACTTGACTTTTAAAAGATTCTCCTTTTTCTGAAACTAGAAGAAGTTACTTGCAGTAAATGAATTAATGTATTTATGCAGCTTTCAAAGGCAGGCTTTTACTTATGAATTTGAGTGCTCTTAATGATGGTCTGTGGACCACACTTTATGTAAAGTCACAAACCATGGCACAACCAACAACACAGAGCTTTCATTTGGTAATATTTTATGTTCTCTTTATAGAGGCCCACGTTTCTGTGCAAATCCCTGTGGGATTAAGTTCTAATAAAATCATTTAGCTTCTTTGCAAGTCCGTGGCTGTAACTCCTTAGCATCAATGAAGCAATGAAAAGGGTCATTTTGAAAACAGTAGTGTTCCCATTGATTTAATGGGATCATGCCTGGGTTCAAAATGAAGCCCTAAAAGTTGCCAACACTGCTCAATCACAATATTTTCCCTTTCAAACATAACTGATCTATAAATCTCCAATGAGACTTTAACTATAAGGAAAATTCAAAGTCAGTTAAAAGCTAATTTTGAGATAATCTTACAAAACCAATGTAGTTTTTGTGGATTTCACAATAAAACACTTACATGTAAGACTTAGGATTGTCTTATTTTTTTTTCATAATTCTCTAAAATCCTATGCTGACAGCAGATATCTCAGAGTTCACCCACCAAGCATTCAAATAAAATAATACTGGAATGACCTGTTCTTTGTGACAATTTTAGGCAGAATATCTTTACCTGTTAAAATTTGCATTCCAAATCTACACTCATTTCTACCAGAAACAAGCTAATATGTAAGTGTTGCACAGAAAAATATTTCAGAATTCCAACACAGTATGTGTCTTATCCTTGCCAATTCCCAGGTAATGCTCAACACATTTTCCAAGTTGCTAAAAATAAAAATTGGCATACTTACAATATATTTTAAAGAACAATACAGTACTTGCTAGTCAGAAGCAATGGGCATGTGAAACTGTGTCAGTGCCAACATCAAGGTTTGTACAAAATGCATGAGTAAGCAAGTGATATTTTATGAAGCAAAGGTACAAAAACATGATTTCATTTAGCAATTACACGTCTGACAAGGTTAACATCTAATAGATCTGGTAATATAAAATTAAAGTGACACCTACCTCATACTGATTTCTTTAAATTATTTATCACTGCTTGACCTGAGCTGTTTCAATACTTGTAGCGAGTTGAGACTTCCAATAAACCAGTTTTTTGTCATGCAGCAAGTCCCAGGTGTTTCCCTTGTCATGAGGACAGAAATTGTTAATAAGTGAATGCTAACTTCAGTAATTTGTCTAGGATTAATTTGTTTCAATGTTTAAAGTGTAAACCTCCCTTATTAAAGGGATTAGATTAAATTCTAATATGTGCACTCATCAAACCTTCATTTCAATGGCACATGGAGTGCTTTATTCTTCCTTGTAAAAGAATTTAGGCATCATACTGCCAGCAGTCCTTCTTCTTATAAAGCTGTAATTCAGCATAAGGCTTGTTACTTTACACTTCTCCTGCTTGCCATTCTTTTTCTGGATGTAATAATTTTATTCCAGCTATGACCACCTTTAATTTCCTTTACTCAGAATGCAACCACTCCAGAAACAGTGTTTTCAGCCAATGTCTCATTTATGCCAGTCCACGTGCAGGAGCTTCTGCAAGTCATTCCTTACAACAAATTGCTGCATGTTTTCCTTACAAGAGAAAGGATCAGCTATATTATGCTTTATTATCCTATATTGCTATACTGCAGCTATTATGCTTATATTATTAGTAGTCATAATCCCACATCTCATAAGATGCTGACCTTGGACAACTGGAACATCATAAATTGCTTGCAACATTCTAGTGTTTTTCTTTATTTGTTTATTTACAAGCATATAACTCCTTATAGAACTAATCCAATACCTTTCATTACCTTTATTTAGGTTACAGTGGTTGTGAAGGTAGTCTCCCAATAACGGAACATATCTGAAAACTTTAAGCTACATTTTTTAGACAATGCCAAACTAAGATATTTAAAGGCAGATTCCCTTTCTACCAGGTAAACTTGATCATCTTTTGTTCTTTCACTCCTGGGCTTTGCAACGGGGATATCTAAATAGAATAAAGAATGACCAAATGTTCTAACCATGTTTGGGCATGTGCCAAACAGCACTCTCTCAAACAGCTCTTGGATAGAATTTGGAAGTCAACCATTCCAGAAAGCATTTCCAAGCAGCACTCAGTGACAAAGATTGTAGCTTCAGTGAAGGTCAGACCATGTCATGCTATTTGGTGTCAGTACCCAAGACAGTTTCTGAACATGTTTAACTTACTAATGGAGACAACACTGCTGAGCATTTGCAGGTTTCAATTTAAGCCAGAAAAAATTGTGTTCACCCTCTTGCATTTTGTACTGTGGTGTAACCGAGTTACACTTACAAAACTCAGCTTGAAGTTACAGTGTGTTAACTAGCAAAGAAAATCTCTGGCGTGTAAGGCTGTATATGGGTTTACTGGAGTCCACT